AGTGACTATTTGTATAAAATGAGTATGCATGCCAGTGATTGATTCTTTTGGTTTCATGCGAAAATGTTTGTAATCGTGTAATAGAATGTTCAATTTAGACTATTTTACTTCATTAGTGCATTTATACATTAAGCAAATTCTATCCCAATTTTCTTTTCCTATTTTACAAGTTAAAACATGCATATAGTTCTCAGATTTAAGTGTACATAAAAAGCTATTTAAATATTTAGCATTTAACTGAGCTAGTTCTTTTTCCTCTAGTGTCCAATCAATAAATAATGCTTCGATTCTAACACCATCAACAAGTTTAGTTGGTCTAGTGTAACATTCTTATACAAAAGTTCACATGCTAGTCAAGCGATTAAAGAAAATTAGACATATGAGTTTTTCAAAAGTTAAAAAAAGCATGTTATAAAATAGTGGTGATATAGTGATCGAATATTCTTCAGGTTTGTTACAGTTTTCAAAAGTAATCATGAACATTTTCAAAAAGTTGTCTGAACCTCAATTTTTGAATATAGGCTCTGATACCACTTGAAAGTTTGAATATATTGTTAGACCTAAAGATCTATCCCAAGGCTATCCAAGAGGGGGTGAATTGGTAATTTAAAAATTCTCTTGGAATTTTAGAAAATTGATTTTAGATTTTATCATAATGATAAATTTTCTTAAAAATATTTTTCCAACCACAAAATTAAAACTTGTAGAAAATAAAAATGCAATAAAAGTAAAGACAAAATATAAAATTTTATAGTGGTTTGGTCTAACTAGACATATGTTCCTTCCTAAACACTCCCTCTTCAGGTATTGCATTATACCAAAGTGACTCTCTTTTTACTCACATAGCTGTTGCAACCCATGACCCTGAGCTTGAGATTTTGATGATGCCAAATAATGAGTGTTTTGGAACAACCTTTCATTTAATATTATTTTATTTGCTATTTAAATTGAGCACTAACATTTCAGGAAGATCACAAATGACTCAGGAAGAAAGGAAGACTCAAGACCGGGTAGATTAGGAGTATGAGTCAAACATTGTATTTTTTCATTTATTTTGTTTTTTCTTTATTGAGTCTGGCCACAAAATGCGTAAGAGTAAGAGCAACCATGCACACACACAGGGGGAGAGTTATTTTTTAACTGCAAAATGTAATTAAAATTCTTCTCTGGATATCGTACTGTACGATTTTAATTCGTACCGTACGATCCAAGCTATGTGGACAATTCTATGAATAGATCGTACTGTACAAATCCCTTCGTACTGTACGATATGTTCAGATCCAAAACCTTAGCCGTAGTTTAGTTTAAGTAAGTGATTTTGCGCCGTTCGTACGATCTATTTTAAATACTTACTTAAATTAACCCGTGATTAGTGCATGTAATCCAGGCCTAATTAAAATTTGAACATCGTACTGTACGAACCCGATCGTACCATACGATGAACAGAGACGAAGTATGATCGTCCCGGATATTGTCCTAGACGATCTCTTGGTTTTTGTCACATCGTACTGTACGATAGTAATCATACCATACGATGAACAGAGACGACATCCGATCGTCCAGAACATCGTCCTGTATGAATAGTATCTTGTTGGATCGTACCGTACGATATTATATCGCACAGTACGAATTGTTTTTGAACTGTTCGTACATCTTCGTACCAGGACGACGTCTGTTTATGAAGATCGTTCTGTACGATGTGGAATCATACTGTACGAACAGTAACAGTTACTTTTGAATTCAGAGGTTTTTGGAGCCTTTTTTAGATATCAATCAAGTCCTTTTTCAGTAAGATTTACAGAGGGGGTGAACGTGGTTAGAGAGGGATTCCAAGGGAGAAAACTCTAGAGAAGTTCTTGAGGGTTGAGAGAGGAAGGAGGAGGTGAGCGTTGTGAGGGAGAAGAGGTGTGAGGGAGATCACACTGTTGCTCCAAGCTTGCTGCATCTTGCTCCTCCTGTGTCCCTAGAAGGATTTGAGGGAGGATCTCCAAGGGAAAGGCTCGTCTACATCCGTTACCTCGAGGTTCTCTGCCTTCTCCAGGAGGGAGAAAAACGAGAAGGTTCTCTGTCGTCGCTAGGAGGGCGAAAACAGAGGTTGGCACTCCGCCACGCCGGGTTGGTGAAAGGGAAGTTTGTAAAGGCTTCTCCGCCTTGCCGAGGGGGGCAAAAGGAGAACTATTTTGATAGTGAAAATCCCGGAGTGGAGGACTCCGGGGAGTGGACGTAGGTCATATTTTGACCGAACCACTATAAAATTCTTGGTGTGTTTTTTCCTTTTCGTCATTTATGTTTTACTTGCTTTTAATTTTTCATATCTATTGCATGTGAAATTTTGTGGAAGAAAAATTGCATAAAAATTTTGTTATAAAATTTCAAAAACAACAAAAAATTAGAACTCTTGTTTAGGGTTATTTTTATTAAGAAAACAATTTTTACAATTCACCCCCCCTCTTGTCGTTTAGTAATTTCAATAGCAAGGCAGAGAAGCCCTTACAATAACCTCTCTTTCACCAAACCCTAGTGTGGCTGAGTACCATCGTTCTTTCTTATCCTCCTAGTGAAGGTAAAGAATTAGCATCCTTTCACACCCTCCTTGTGTCGGTAGAGTATCGACTTCCTTTTACACTCTCCTGGTGTCGACAGAGTACCGATATCCTTTCTCACCCTCTTGGTGATGATAGAGTATTGGATATTCTTCAAAAACTTTCTATCAAGAGTCTTCAAAGAAGTAGGGAAGAGATTTGACGAAATTACAAAGAGGTCATCACCTTTGGGTAATCTTATGAACCCTTCACAATTTCTACTTGATAGATATCTCAATCCTCACTCCCAAACACTCTCACTCTCACTCCTAAGAGAAAATTCATAGAAGAAGCATTGACAGTTATTTTTTAGGACCCTTATATAGAAAGGATAAGAAAAATCATCCATAAAACTAAAAATTTCAAGTTGACTATCTTAGATCATACAATATGATCGTACTTCATACATAAGAATAGTTCAAAAAAATCCTTGTATGATCCTGGACAAACTTATTTTGTACTATGTCAGTCATATATACGAATTGACATCATGCAATACAAATAATTCAAAATTAAATAAGTTCATCCTATATAATTTTGTATGAATCTATTTAGTACTCTAATCATCGTCTGTACACATAATATAGTATGAATTGTTTAAATCAAATCATTCTTCGTATGGTACGAACATGGACGAGCCCATTTCGTACTCTGGACGTCATTTGTATGAAACTAGTTTCATACAGTATAAATAGTTCAAAAAATATACCTATTCATATGGTATGAACTGGTACATATCCATTTCATACTCTGTACGTCATCTGTATGAATCCAACTTCATACAGTACGAACAGTACAAAAGAAATTTTCAATGCATGATTCTATTAACTTTTTTCTGGAGGAACACTCAGGAAAATAATTAGTTTTAAGAAAAATAATTTTTGACTCACTCCCCCAGTGTGTCTGTACATGGTTACTCAATTACAATCACACTCTCTCAAAAATGAACATACTTTAATTACAAGAAACCCTAATATAATTTGTTTTAAATTCTTCTGTAGTGTGGAGTATGATTTTCCTAAATATTAGTACACTCAAACAACACAAACAAGATTTTTTCAATATGTGTTAGGAGAAACAATAACAAACACAATAATATTTTGGCATCATCAAAAACTCATATGATATAAAAGCATATATTTGAAAACTAAGTTGCAACACATCCGACCTCCGTTGCTAGACTACGATCCTTCCAACCTTCATTGCCAGACAACAGACTTCTCAACCTGTGTTGCCCGCCGACTACAATCCTTTTGACATCTGTCACTAGAAAACGTTCTTTTTGAACACTGTTGCCAGCCGACTATGGTCCTTCTGACCTACGTCATAAGACAACGTTCTTTATGGCATCAGTCACCCGCCGACTATGATCCTTTCGACTTTCATCACCTAATAATGGTCTTTCTGCCCTTCGTCGCCTTCCCACTAAGGTCTTTCCAACCACCGTCACCCGACTATGATCTTTTCGACCTGCGTCGCCCACCGACTATGGTCGTGCCAACCAAACAAACATGTCAATATTGATTCTTCTAATTTCCACCATGTAATGACTCTATATGATGTATATTTGCTACATCAAGCCATGACCTTCCCCTAAGAAAAAACCTCATTTGTAATCAATTGCAAACACTAGTGGATTCATTCATATTGGGCAAACCCTATGATTTTTCCTCATTTTCAGAAATTTTCACGTAAAAATGTTGTCTCTTATAACACTACACTATCTCTTTAATCTGATTGTGTGTCGGATCTTCTTACAAAGCTAAGACATTGAATTTTATATTTCTCTTTTACCGCTAATATTTAAAGACGCAACAAATATGTATTATAATTTTATTATAAACTGTATTACAAAGTAATAATATAATTTTTTAATATTATAAATTTATAATTACATTAAATATTATTCTTATTATAAGTTATATTTATACATTTATATTATATATGTTTTTTTTTTAATTTTGAAATATATATTTAATGCTTATATATTTATATTTATAATATACATCTACTTATAATATACCTAATAATATTTATATATTAGTTAATAATAATTTATTTATTTATTTATACACTATAAAAATAATTATATCTATTAATTAATGATAAATTATTTTTGCATAAATAATTGTTAGATATAAATTTAAAAAATAAATTTTGTATATAACATATATATGTAAAGTATATTTAAACATATAATATAAATTAATAATAATTTATATTAAATTCATAAACTTATATTTGAATTAAATTTAGAGTAAATATATAATATTAATAGTATTATGTTAATTTAATTAATTTTAATAATATTATTATTATTACATCTTTCAATTTGATCTCGATCCGTCAAACCGATTAAATCACGAACATCTTTTCTTTTCAGTTATTTATTCAGTCAAATTTTCACAACCTGAATTAGTTCCTCAAACAAGGACTTTAAAAATTATTCTACATCTTCAAAAATAACTAAGGGCTTTTCCCGAAACATGTCACGCCCAATAATCGGAGGGTTTGTGCTGCGGTGCGGTGAACTTTAGACTGTCGTCACGCCAAGGAGGACGGAGTAGATTCGTTTGAGGGAGCAAGTGGCTGCAGCCCGGAGAAGCATCGTAACCAAATTGTAGCAGCGCGAGCTCTGAGTCTCTGTTGCCAGTTTTGTAAGTTGTCAGCTCCTCTTCTTCTTTGTATCTTTCAATTCCCTCCAAACCCTAAATCGGTCTTTTCCCTTGTTTTAGGGTTTTTCTCCTATTCCTACTTTCTACATCCTGAAAAGAAATGCTAATAAGCTGTGATTTTTATGTAATTTTTGCTAATTCATTGATTAATCTTTTCCGGGCAGCTTTTTGTTTCATTAAAAAATACACCTTGAGTGATTGCAAGCTTTATCTTCCAGTAAAAATTTCTACTTTTAATGCAATTGATCTATAAAATTAATTCATCTGTGTTTCACTCGTTATTGACTTGGTTTTATCCGAACTTGTGAAAAATTTTAAATTTGCAATCGGTCTAGTTGTGTGATGAATGCTGAAAATACTAAAGAGTGGTGTGATGGTCCTCAGTGTGCGATTTTGATTTCTGCAGAATGATGGATGGCCATGCGAACAGTACCAATGGACTGATCGAAGGCCATGTGGAACTGGACGACAACATCAACTTCTGGGCATCATTTGGCGTAGGCCCACATGTTGTCGTGGAGCCTGATCACTCAATCCAGCACCACGAACAGCAAATGGAGCAGCACATGGCATATAGTGAGCATCCTTCTCGCAGGGAGCTCTGTGCTGTGGAAGTTGACCCAAGGATCGAGCCCTATGTTGGAATGGAATTTGATTCTGGAGAGGCTGCAAAGACCTTTTACATTGCCTATGCTGGGAAAGTAGGATTCTCAGTTCGAATTGCACGGTCTCGCAGATCAAAATGCAATGAATCTGTCATAATGCTTCGCTTTGTCTGCTCAAAAGAAGGGTTCAGCAGGGAGAAGCGCATAATTGCAGGAAAGAAGACAAGGAAGAGGGCGGCATCCATAAGGGAGGGTTGCAAAGCAATGCTTGAGGTGATTCGTAGAGGTGATGAGAAATGGGTGGTGACCAAGCTTGTCAAGGAGCATAATCATGAAGTGGGAATGCCAAGTAAGGTGCATTACATTGCCACAGAAGGGGATGCCGAGTTGCTTCCATTTGTTGGGATGGAGTTTGAATCTCTTGAGATGGCAAAAACATTCTATTATGCATATGCCAGTCGTGTCGGATTTGAAGCTCGTGTAAGGCAGTCTCGCCGTTCGTTGCATGATGAATCACTCAAGATGCTGAAACTAGTCTGTTCAAAGCATCGATATCACTCCGGAAGAGATGAAAATGGTGATGATGGAAGAAAGGGGTCAAATCAGGATCCATCAAAAGAAGGTTGCAATGCATTGTTTGAGATAGTTCGCAAAGAAGCTGATGTTTGGATGGTTTCCAAGCTTGAGTTAGAACATACGCATGAGCTGACACCATCTCCACCTAGCAAGGTGCGGTGTGTTCGTTCCCAGGGAGAGATACTTGTTATTGCCAAAAACTTCTCTGATACCCGCAATCTTCTCTTGAATGGTCAAGACTCACTGAATTTTCCTCGGGAAATTCGGTACAATGACTTGGGGCCAGAGGATGCCAATAATCTACTTGAATATTTCAAGAAAACCCAAACGGATAATCCTGCATTTTTATATGCCGTGCAGTATGAGCAGAATAACTGTATGACCAATATTTTCTGGGCAGATGCTAAAGCTCGGATGGCATACCACTACTTTGGTGATGCTGTAACTTTAGATATGACCTACAAGAATGATAAAGATTTCATTCCTCTTGTTCTGTTTACTGGTGTTAATCATCACCTGCAACCTGTAGTTTTTGGATCTGCTTTTCTTGTGGATGAATCAGAGACCTCATTTTTATGGCTGTTTGAGACATGGATTGCGGCAATGTTTTCCCGCCCTCCTGTCTCATTGATTACCAGTCTGAATTGGGCCATTGACACTGTAGTTGCAAAGGTCTTTCCAGGCACTAGGCATTTTTTCTGCAGAAAGCACGTTGTAAGTACAATTCTGGTTGAACTATCTGATTTATGCTCCGCGCATCCTGTGTTTGAGGAAGAACTAACCAGATGCATTGATGAGTCCAGAACAAGTGAGTCGTTCGAAGCTTGCTGGAACGCCATACTTGTAAAGTATGATTTGAATGATAATGTATATCTGCATTCTTTGTACAGTATTCGTAATAAGTGGGTTCCCTTGTATTTGAGAGATACATTCTGTGTACAAATCTCTCCATTGCAGAGATCACAAACTTTTGACAAGGTTATTGAAAAGTATTGCACCTCCAAGACTCAATTACGATTAGCAGTCAGGCAACTTGGACTGGCACTTTCAAGTAACTGCGAAAAAGAGGCACAGGCAGATTATATTACCATGTTTGACAAACCATTTCTCAGGACTGCTTCTCCCATGGAAAAACAAGCAGCTAATATCTATACGAGGACAGTATTTGACAGGTTTCAGGAGGAATTTGTTGAATCTTTGGGTTACCATGTTGACAAAGTAGAGGATGGGATGCCTTGCAAGTATCAAGTATCAAGAAATGAGGACGCCGAGGGCACTTACACTGTCGTGGTTAATGTTTCTGAAAATAAAGCGCATTGTAGTTGTTGTATGTTTGAAGCATCAGGAATTTTGTGTCGGCATGCGTTGAAAGTCTTTATAATAGTTGGTATACGAACGCTTCCGAAAGAATACATTTTGAAGCGATGGACAAAATATGCCAAGGGCTCTTCTCTGTCTGAAGAATTTGGTCTTGACATTCGAGCCAATTGTGAAGAACATTCAGTTGCTAGGTATAATGATCTCTGTCATGATGCTATCAGATGTGCTAAAGAAGGAGCAACATCTGCAGAATTCTATAGTATAGCTAAGGAAGCTTTCCAGAAAGCTATTGCTGAAATTATATCAGCAAAGCAGAAGAGGGGAGAACAAACTCTACAGAGTTTCAAAATAGCCCAGAAGAAAAATCTAAAGAGACCTGGCAAAACAACAACACCGAGGAAAGATTCTTCCAGCAAGACATTTAAGAGGACAACAGTACCAGAAGAAAATGATTACATGTAACAATCTCTGAAGTATCTTCTTGTTGTATAGAGCTATTGTTATCTGGATCCCGAATTAAGCACATAAAGCCCTAAAATTTTGATGGGTTGCAACTTTAGTTTAAATCTGAAACTTGATGCGATCTGTAGAACAAACTTCTGTAAAAATGTTTAAAATGTTAAGGTAGCAAGCACTAGTTTGTCATCAGTTTAATCTCTTTGAGGAAGAATGGAGGCTTAACCTTTTGATTTCTTGTACAAATGTAATCTCTCTCTCTCTTTTTGTCTGTTTAAATAAATATAGTTGCATCTCAGCATAAATATCCAGACTATCTGCTTTGTTTTTCTGAGAAGATTTATATTTATGAAAGTTCTTATTTTTGCTTCTGAAAACATTTTATATCCAATACTATGCTCTTGCAGGGATTGTATTAATGAGAAAGAGCATTAGGGAATAGATTTAGGCTTCAATTGGGACAACTTTTTTGTTATTTTATAAAATTGTTTTTTGTTAAAAAATTTCTAATTCAAGAATTTTTTTGTATTAAAAATAAATAATTTATGAAATTATAAAATGAGTGTTAACAATTTAATTAATATTCTTTGTAATGTTTTTTAGTTCATAGGATTTTATTTCATGTATTTTTTTTTCCATAAAAGTATTTGTCAATTTCTCATTTTATAGGCTAATTAATTATTTAATAACAAACAATTTAATTATTTCTATTTCTATCAAAATGACTTCCCAAAATTATGTAATTTTTTCCACAAATTTGGAAGTATATTAAAATCTTTATAATTATTTAACAAGATAAATTCAATTTACTATTTAAATGGAATGCAAAAAGTATTTAAATAATTCCAGAGGCCATGAATAGCCAGAGGAATATTAAAAGTTATTTGGAATTATTTTGAATTTAATTAAAACTTTATGTTATTTAATGACCTAAAATCTAATATATAACCAAATAATATATAATTCCCATGCAATTAATCAAAGAGGTTAAGAGTTTTGGAAGTAGTTTTGATTTTATTTGAATTTTATAATTTTTTGGATGATTTATCTTACAAAATCAATAAAGCATGTTTACTAATCTCAAAATTGCTTTAAAATTTGAATTCAATTAATCTCTAATTGATTTTGTTTTGTATATTTTCAATAATTAGGGTTTAATATGTAGAAAATTAAAAAGAAAAGGCATCTTGATTTCCAAATATTTGGAAATTATTATTCTCTGTTCTTTAACTGATTATGAATAGGTAAGAATTAAATTTAAATTTTTGAAATTTAATTCGACTTAATTATAAATTTTGTAAGATTTTAGCTATTTATATAAGTAGTTACTTTAGAAAATTTATCAAGATTCAATGCCTACACAAAACCTTCTAAGAAAATTCTCAAAGATCTTTAGTAATTTTGAGAATATCCCATAAAAGTTTAAATGTTATCAAAGTTTAATTAGGCACTTAATTAAGCCATTTAACATTTTTATTTTAATTTTAATCCCTTTGTTCACAATACAAATTGAACTAGATTAAACAGAGGTTGTCTGGCCATAGATCACATGACTTTGTTAAATGGAGTCTAAACCTTAAATTATTTCAAAATAAGCCTAATTTCCCTAAGATTAGATTAGTTCAAATGAATGGAGATATGATCATCTCTTCCTGCAGTAGCTCATAAGAGTCGTCCACGCAAGATCCTTTGATCTCCATTGATACATGGGAGATAACCATGGATTTTGATTGAACATCACAAGTAGAGTGAGTTATTATTGGAATAAAAAATATGAAAATTTTCCCTTGAGAGCACCACGACACCAGGTTAGGCGATGCTACGGCATTGAGCTATTGAGTTTAGTTCATTTTATTATGAATAGTTCAAGCGCAACAGCACCGCGCAGAGTGTCGTAGAGCTAGGTCATGTTTTTATAAAAATATAAAAATCTACTATTTTCCCATTTTACTCAAACTATTTTTGGCATTTGAGTTGCGACCTAAAGAGAGAAAGGGAGAGATTTCTAGCTAGAGAATGACCATTTCAAGCGACTTCAATCCATTTTTTTTTTGCTATCGACTTAATTTGGAAAGTTGTCCAGGTCAAGATAGGTTATATATATTATGTTTATCTTAATTTTTAAAAATAAGAATATTTTAGAATATTTTTTATTAAAATTATAAATTTGTAGCATAGAAATAAGACTAATTCCATATTCGCTAAACTTTAATGTACAACTTTTTGTATGTAGTAGATATGTTCATCTGAATATTTAGGTATTTTTTTTTTTAAAAGTTAATTGATTAAATTAAAAGTATGTTATTTTTAGCAAATTAAAAAAAAAAAATTTTGATCCTAAAAATAATGTTGTACATTTAAAGCTTTAAAATAATATTCTGAATAATCCCTATTAATCTGGCCAATTTCTGAAAATTTAAAATTTTACCTAATTATTCAGTTTGTTGTTTATCAATAGAGCACTCTATAAATTTTTTGCAATTTGATTATTTAGATTTATTTTACTATAATAAAATTATATATGTGCTTATCTACTTGAAATATGCAATTTTGTGGAGCTCTAATGTTGAAGAAAGTTCTGTTATGCTAAATGCAGGACTTTAAGTGTATGAATTTTTGAATATATGAATATGTGCTAAGAATTTGGGAGTTATAATGAACTGCTTTATGATATGTTAGCAAAAAGAATAATAATGGCCTGGATTCTGATATCTATTTTTTATGGGAGGCCTAAGAGCCTGAAAAAAAATGTGTACTTTTTTCTTTGATATATGAAGTGCTTATTTATTTATCTTTCTCACAATATTTATTCTTTTTTGTTATCTATAAATTCTACTCTGGTCAGTACAATAAATTGCTAATAACTACTTTTAAATTTAGTTAAATGTATAATAATGTGTTGATTATTGAAAATTAAGATCGGTAGATATGATATATTGAGTTGTGATGGCTCGCACCTATTATGCATCCTGTTTTAAGTCAGGGCAAGGGGAAAGAGCTAGTAGAGTAGTTAAGGTTACTGGTCCTGATTAATCTAAGTTTGTATAGGTTCTTTCTAATTTAAATTTTATATACAATTATGGTTATTTTCTACTTTATTTTATTCTTATATGCAGCCATGTATTGTAGTATATAAACTTTATTATATATACATTTTGAAAATAAATGAAAAAAAATTAAAGACATCTGAAAAGTCTCTAAAACTTAAATCTTAGGATTGGCCTATCACCAATGAACACGATATTACCTATTATTTTAGTGGATCAAATTAGGTTGGGTTGTGACAGTGCCTTTTTTAGTATCAGAGAAGTAATTTTGGATGACATATTATACATATAGCTATAAGAATTGATCTGTAGTCGAGTGAGATAGTTCTAGGTAGTGTTAGATATTGATTCTATTTTATTTGCATGTGCAAGTTCTATTTAGCTGTTTGTTCTATGTGATCGTTTCATGGATCGATAAGATCTTGATATGCATTATGGGCAAAACAATATCATTATAGAGTACGATTCCTACTATCAATTTTGATTTATTCCCTTAATTTGCAATCTGGTAGTGTAATTAATAGGTGAAGCCCAAAGTAAGATTTTCTCTATTAGAACGGGTGAGGGGGGTAGGCATTTACAGATGTTTCTGAGGTTGAAGCCTTTGAGGTTTGAGGGCATTAGTGAGCCCAGTGCGGTAGATGATTGATTGATGAGGCTAGAGAAGTCATTTAATGGGATGTAGTATCCTCTTGAGGGGAATGTATTTATGGTTGTGTTTCTATTTGATGAAGAGTCTAAATGCTTGTGGCTAAGATAGTAGATAGAATAGTTCCAAGGAAGGCTAATATTTTTATTAGTTTTAAGGAGTTTACAGATGTCTTTAGGTTATAATTCATAATTCTTTCATCTCAGCAACATATATAAGAGATTTTTCTATGATTAGTTTAAGGGAGTTGGATAGTTATGCAATATGAGACATAATTTACTACTCTAGTCAAGCATGCTTCGCAGTTAGTTAGCACATCAGAGGAGAAGTGTTATAGGTTTCTAAGAGGGCACTAGGATAGTTTGAGGTAGGTGTTAGCCCCATTCCACATTACTAATTTCTATGAGCTGGTAGATAAAGCCCATATGATTAAGAATTATATGTCAGCTACTTAGTAATGGTGGGCTACTAGAAGGAAGATATTTGGTGGTGAGGCTTTTAGTAGTAGCTTTTTCTAGAAGAGGAGCAAGTTCAGACCCAGAGACTCTAGGAGATGTGAACTAATTATTTTAATTTCTGGTGGTAAAGGTGTAAAATCGGGTTACGAGTCAAGTTCAAGTCGAACCCAACATTGACCCCCTTATATTTTATAAGACTCAAACCTAACCTATTTTTGTAAAAGGACAAATTTTATAACCTAGACTCGACCGAACATGACTAACTCAGGGCTGGGCAGAAATATAAAGCGAAGCTGCGAAGGCGTACGTTGAGGCGTGAGTTAGTCTCATTGGAGTTGTCGGACTTGCACATTGGGGGCAGAGGCAAGACGTGACAAACACCAGATGTGCAAGTTGCACATGTTAGGAATTACATCCTTGTAGGTGACTAGGAAGTCTAAGGGAGACGTGTGGCCACGGGGGTGCGACCAGACTGTACGAGCAGTCAGAGAAGCACCACATGATAGGTTGGACTATGAGTCGAGTGATGTTGATCACGCTGGGTCAAATACAATTCATTCTTAGGTTTTTGGGTCAACTAGAACCCGACCTGATTTTTAAAATGGGTCAAGTTGTTGAATCTAAACCCAATCTATATGACAAACAGGTTGACCCTAACCCAAAATTTTTTAGTGAGGTTCGGATTAAGTTTTTGGTTCATGTTAAATATTGACACCCTTATCTAGTGGTTGTAATATTGCCAATTCTGGAGGCTCTATTAATGTTGTACCTATATGCCAAAGTTGTGATAGGAGATACTTAGGCTAGTGTTATAGAATGATAGATCATTGTTTTTGGTGTGGTCAAACTAAACAAAAGGTGATTGAGCGTCCACAGGTATCACTTGGTTAACATTTTGAACCTATGTTTGAGAGTTCTATTAGACTGAAAATAAGACTAAGGATAGTTCTAAAAGATCTTCTAGTAGAGGTAGTGGTTTAGGTTTAATCATTGGGAGGTCAATTATTTTTGGTTAGGGAGAGCATGGTAGTTATATTATTGTAACTTCAATTCAAGCATGTGTATACAATTTGACTTAACACAAGGTTAGAGATCTTCCAAATGTGGCAATAGATATGACTTATATTTTTGATATGCCTTATTACATTTTA